AAGATTTTACAATCGACAATGGGAACCGATGCTTGACGCAAACACAACGCAAGGAAGAAAATAAACCATATCTAGTTGTATTATGTTCAAGGTGGCGTCGAACAGTAAACAAACCGAGCACGCACCAACGCAGACACACAGGCCTCGACTTCTTCTTTATATATAACAAATAATGATTTTACACAGTTTAACAATTAATATATAAAGATAATAATTATTTGAAATGAATATGAATAAATTATTGAACATTATACATTCAGCCGAGAATGTTTATTATTGTTCTCAAGTAGCCTGTGCAGACCAGACAGTCGTAGCAATATTTTGAAGTGAAAGATGGCCTTCAGTTTTTAGTAATGCAATCTGTAGGCTACTCAAAACTGATTGTATCCTTAAATGGACAGGAACATAAAACACTTCAGAAAGTTTATTGCAATTTTCCAACACAATACATAGCTGTTTATCTTCAAACCATTGCTTTCACTTTCATGGGGGATATAAACTTTACAGCTTATATCTCCCATTACATTAACATGTAAAAGATATCACCATTTACCCCGAGGTCATCATCGCCCATCTTACGTTACTTTTAGATGGCGAATTGAAGCCACGTTAGAACAATTCATAAAATGTGCTTAGTGTGGCCCTGTCTCCTTCAGTGGCCATTCTGGTATCCGACCTTGCAAATTAGCTCAAAATAGACCTTTCTGTGTAGAAAAAAAGTGAAAATCAATGACTTTATGAACTGAATGGAGGAATTTCAGTGTATTGATCTATTTAAGGAATGAAGAGTCATACTCCAGTCATACTGGATATTCTCATAAGTGGATTGTGACCATTGTGAACCGACAAATTCTATACATGCTTTTTGCATAATTTACAGTGACTATGCAGTGTATCTTAACGGCAAGCAGTCATTTAGCAGGTGCTTGTCATGTAAAGTGATCAGTACACTCATTACAAACATTTCGCCTGGAGCAACATGACTTTGAACGTTTGACTTTTGAAATTTTTGAACACAAAGAGCCATAATATTAGTAACTCAGGCCATGAAGCACTCCTACATGGATTAAAGCCTACACACACACAGGTTTGTTTTTGTGAAAAGTGGGGACATCCCATAGGCGTAATGGTTTTTATACTGTACAGACCGTATATTCTATTGCCCTACACCAACCCTACCCCTTACAGGAAACTTTGTGCTATTTCAGATTGTCAATACACTCCATTCTGTGTGATTTATAAGCGTTTTGAAAAGTGTGGACATGGTGTAATGTCCTGAAAAGTCACCTTCTCCTTGTAATACCTATGTCATACCTTTGTCATTATACAAATGTATGTCCTCATTTGTCACAAAAACGCGCGCACACACACACACACACACACACACCTTTTCTCTCACTCTGTTCTCAACACACAGACACATAAGAGCCTTTATGTCAAGGTTTACCTATGTCATACCTTTGTCATTATACAAATGTATGTCCTCATTTGTCACAAAAACGCGCGCACACACACACACACACACACACCTTTTCTCTCACTCTGTTCTCAACACACAGACACATAAGAGCCTTTATGTCAAGGTGTTCTGCAATCATGTTTGCACAGCTGTTTGCCAGTCTGTTGTGGCAACTTAATGTTTTTGCTTGCAGGATGTTGGAGTGTTTTCTCCAATGTACATTGACTGCGTTAACTGAGAAGTTCAACAAGGGCATTTTTATCTGTGGTGTGAAAGGATTTGTAACAGTCCTGAAATGTAACGAGTAACATGTTTGGAATTACATACATTTCACTAATTTTTGTGTAAAAGAACAAACAAGTAAATAAATAAAATCGATCAAACAAACAACAGCTTTGGCCATGGTCATGTAGCTATGGGCATGTCAACATTGTCCTTTATGTTTAGGCTTTGCTGCCATCCTCTGGCAGCAATAACTAATAACAACAGCACCAAAGATTGTCAGTAGTAGTAATAACAATAATAATAATAATAATTATTATATTCAGTAAGGATGCATTAAATTGATAAAAAGTGAGAGTAAATACATTTTCAATATTACGGAAGATTTCCATTTCAAATTTGCTCATTTGTTAAAGAAACCTGTGAAAAAATTTATTATGGTTTCCACAAAAATATATAAGCCTGCATAATTATATAATAATAATATTTCTCATATTAGAATGATTATTGAAGGATCATGACACTGAAGCCTGGGATCATGACTGCTGAAAATTCAGCTTTGCCATCCCATGGGGAAAAAAAACACATTTATAAATATTTTCAAATATAAAAGTTATTTTAAATTATTTAAAAAATTCACAATATTGCCGTTTTACTGTATTAACTTTCAAATAAATGCAGTCTTGGTGAGCATAAGAGACAGTGTTTGTTGGTCACCATAATACTGTCATCTGATATCAACAAAAGTTTGGATTTTTATTTTGGTCTATTAAAACTCTTCAGCCTTTAAAAGAGATTAGAGACAAAATGGGTTTTCCATAGTTTTTTTATTGACAGTTTGTACAAAAAGAGGTATGATAAATCACATAACCAGCAACGAATAGGCCACATTTACCATAAAAACAACTGGACTTTAAAAAAAAAATAAATAATAAAAATAAAAAAAAAGGAAAAAATAAATGAAATGAAACAACAGGTGTTGACATACAATTTGTTAGAGTTGGTCATGTTAGTTTGCGCAATATAGACACCACACATGAAAATTGCTGAATATGCCATTAAACGTGAAATGAAGATGATATAATTAATCTAGACCATCTTGTTCAATATTTCTGTCAATCGGTTAGGCTCAGTTAATATGTTCAAGTCTGTCCATTCAGTCCAACATTGACTCCTGAATATTCCATCACTTTCTGAAAATGCCTTTTTGAATTTCTTTGTAATGCCATTAAAGTCTCCGTAAGACTGAAGTTACAAGTGCATCTGTTGAATGCAAACTTACAGCATCATGCATGCATGTTTGCAAGAGATCACTTTCTAACACAAGTGCAATGTCTTTAGATACAACACAAATATTTATGCACTAATTTACTAATCCATTAACGATAGTTTAACTATTCTAATTACACTAAAACATCACGCCTGAACAAGCTTTTGTTTTCCAAAAGCAACTGCTTTTTAGTCATCAGAACAATATTTAGCAAATCGCAGACTGAGATCACATTAGCTGTGACGAGAGTCCAGCATTAATTGCATAATATGTGATGATGTTGTGTATAATGAGTAATGAAATCCAATGTGTGGTGATGAACATTACAGTATTCCAGAGCTTCATTATCAGCATTACAGATATCAATGACTTAAAAAAAAAAAAAAAAGGACTTGAACTGGACCGAAAAGACACTGAAATGCATGAAAACGCTATGCGAAAACAAACGTCACTTCTGCTTATGAATGATGGATGCTATCAAAAACAAAAAAAAACGATTTAAAGATGCTTACAGGCTCTGTATGGGATCTACCAGCATGAGGTTTAGTATAATTACCTTAAATTATAATTTTAAGCCCATGTGTTGGTAATAAACTGTCTGGAAATGATGTGGATAACATCTAAATCACGAACATGAACCGTTTGAGATCATTCAGATCATGAAGATGCGAAAGTACAGACAACAATAATGTAAACAAACAAGCGAGATGAAAACACTTGGGGAAAAAACTGACTCCATTTCAAGCAACGAGTCCAGGGCCAGAATTAGGAGTGATAAACAAAATTATATAAAATGCATAAAAAAAAAAAAACACACACACACACACAGAAAGATAACATTCATCAAAATGGGTTTCACAACATCCTTCTGTGATAAATCTATCAAACAAATGCAGTCATTCAAATAATACTACTGCATAATCAGTTATGTACACTGGATATTTGATATGCATACATACAGTATATACACATACAAGAATATCCTTCACTAAAAGTTTAGTACACTGAACTGTACAATAACTTCCAAAGGGAACTGTTCAGCAAAACACTGTTTTGCTTACATAGTAATACTATGTTTTACAATACAAGATCAAAATTGTTCCAAACAGAAAAAAAAAAGTTTTGCGCAAGCCTAGACAGGCCACAAAGTGCATAAACGGTCAGTCAGAAGCCACTGTTAGAGAAATCCATAGGGTGGGAAACGATTCTGCAGCTTGTATTCCCACTCAAAACGGGAAAAATGACTATTGCCTTACGACAAATAATGCCGTCACAATGTGGCATGTTGTTTGTAGGCAACATGCTCAGGGTTAGCATTAGCCACTACCATTTAGCCATCGGTAAATTAATCTCTGGCTCTCGCCGACACCTGGGTTTCAAGTAGAGGCTTTGCAGCAGTAAATGGAGGTGATAAACTCGAAAACGCTCCATCTCTGTTAAAAGAGGCCCAGTAATGCAAGCAGGACAACATCTCCCAATTCAAAAATACCACCCAGAGTACATACCAGGACTGAGCAACTTCGGTCCTGGAGAGCCACCGTCCTGCAGAGTTTAGACGTAACCCTAATCAAACACACCCGAACCAGCTAATCAATGTCTTCAAGATCACTAGAAAGCTACAGGCATGTGTGTTTGATTAGGGTTGGAACTAAACTCTGCAGGACAGTGGCCCTCCAGGACTGAAGTTGCCCAGCCCTAGTTCATACTATACTGAGATTAGGACAATGGTATGATCATCAAAAAAAACACACAAAAAATAAGTATGGTAAAAACTTAACATGAACCTAACGAAGAAACACTTCAGTTTGAAGCACATGAGGGGCCACAGATCACGTGACCGTCAATTTCACAACAGCAAACGGACATTTGTGCGTGGACAACCATCTGCCAGTTTGGAAAGAGTGGAGGGTGACCTCTAGAGGAGAAAATGCTTGAATGAACAAATTCTGGAAGGGCAAAACGTCATCTTTATGAAATGGTGATCTAAAAAAGAAAAACATCCTTTACAGTAGTGCTATCGTGCCACATCTGAAAAACACTTTCTTGTGCTTTTTTTTTTCCTTTAAAGTCCTCCAAGCCATTTCAGATCTTGGCTGGTTTGTTTTTCTTTTCTTAAAGCAATGGCTCTGATAAAGTAATTTCTGAAATGAAAGAGTTGTCGAAGAATGATTTTTTTTCTTGAATGAAGAATTTCAGCCAATTCAGGCTTTTGTTTTTTCTTCAAGCATTCCCCTCTTTGATTGTCCTTTCTAAACTGACTTTTCCTAAAACATTATGAAACAAATGGACAGACAGAATTAGCAAATTTGTTTGCCATCACTCTCTCTCTTTTTTTTTTTTTGAAACCCTCTCCAGTCTGACAGGCTCGAATCCCTCTCGTTCTCGGAGACTACAGCCCCCTTTGGGGGTCTGAGTTGACAATGCATTTCTAGGACTTGTTCTTCTTCCTTTGGTCTAAGCCTGGGACAATCTCTCTCGGTCTCCATCTAGCTTTTGCTTTCTCACCCTGTTCGTCTCTCTTTTGCTCTGCCTCTCTCCCTCTCTTTCCTGGTCTCTCTCTATCTGTTAACCATTGAGCAGGTAGACCACCAGCTCATAGGTGCACATCATAATAGCAGTGTTAGGGATCTGTCGGACCAGGTGAGTAGTGAGGCCTCGGTACATTGCTCTGTAACCCTCCTCCCGGATCACCATATTTAGAGTTTGGAAGAACGAACGATACTTGCTGCCTTCCTCACGTAGTCTGGTACGAATAACCTCTGTCATGGGAGAAGGAAAGAGATAGAGAGCAAGTTAATAAACAATCATTTATCAGAGAAACAAAAACTTGGCAAGATGGCACATACAGTGGGTTCCAAAAGCCTGATATTACACAGAAGAAAAGCATTTTATTTCTGCATTTCTATACATGGGAATACAAACCCTTTCATTCTAAATTATGTTATAAAAATTCAGTGAAAAAAAATAAAAAAAATAAATAAAAATTCACATCTACAAAAATGTATTCAAATCTATAAATTTACTTCAGAAATGTGTACAAATGTACTTCCATTCGATCAGCTGTCCAGAAATGTTATAGATAATTTTTTCTTCATTCTACAACATAACGTCATTTTTGTTATTTTGTCCTTTTTTCTTTTAGTTTATTTTCAGGTTTAAATGGAAAAAATAAATCACAGATTTTCAATGTGGTCTTTTAAACATGAGGAAGAAAAAAAAAAGGTTTCATGGATAAACAGACAGATGGATTTTCAAGGTAGGTTCATCTTTTAAATACAGGTCGCAAATTAATGTATTGAGGGTCATGATAATTGTTCAAGAATGTACATGTAGTAAAAAAGAACCCACTGCCAACTAAATAAACATGCCAACTACAAACCAACAATGAAACAAATATTAACATAACTATCACAAAAAAAAGGCACTCACCATGAGGATACGCAATTGAAGTGGCACAAGTCTTGGATGTGGCAGCAGCCAGCATCATTCCCACAAAGTCCGAAGCGTCTTTTACAGATTCATCTTCGTCATCCATGTTAGCGTTGGCCTTGGACTCAATGAGTTTGCGTTTAATGTTTTCATAGATGACAAAGTGGATGACAGTCTCTGATATGCCAGCATAAGATGCAGACATGCCCCTGTAGAATCCTCGTAACCCATCTGACTGATAGACCCGCCGGACACACTCAAATGCACTCATGCGCTTTTCTCCGCGGTTCCTGGAGAAAGACAAACACATGTGATAAATGTCACAAATCTGATTATCAGATTTTACATTTGAAAAAAATATTGTTTTAATTTTAAATTGTACTAACATGTCATAATATTTCTATGATCAATATTTTTGATCAGCCTTGGTGAGCCTAAGAAACTTCTTTCAATAACATGAAAAATCTTACCAACCCTAAACTTTTGAGCGGTAGTGTACAGCAAATAGAATTACTCACCTGGCATCAAGCTGCAATCGAGTCTTTATAAGCCAGATCGGGTTGGTTGCTGTGATGGCAGTGAACCCTGGGAAAAAGAGGTGTTCCAGATCAGGCTTGGAAGTGATACTGTCAAAGTAACTCAAAGCACAGGACATTCAGCAGGTCTAATGACTCTAAAACAGACATTTTCCCTAAAGAAACTCCACACTTCAAGGAAGTGCTGTGGACATCTGTAATATGCTTACGGCCTATTTGTTTCATTTTAAATTGTGGGATCTGAATCTCGTTGAGCTTATTTCAGCATATCATACCAATCTCAATCACTAACAGTGTGATGTGGACTACATGTTCTCTTCAGGAATGCCCAGCATCGTTAGCATTAACAGCATTTACTATCTGATGTCGGGAAAACCATTACAGATCCACTAGGCACTTATTTAATATTCTGGGGTAAGAGCCATAAGCACATCTTAGAGTGGCCACAGCAGTAAATAAGGCCTTTAGCTAAAGCATTAAGCAGCTTTTCATCTATAACAGAACTCTGAAACCAATGTAGCTTTACTTCTTAAATATCTAGTCCTATCCTCACTGAATTAAACAGTATTTTAGGGATCGAGTGGAAGCTAAATGAAATAAACATTTTTAGAAAAGGGTCTTAAGTTAAAAAGAACCACTATTCAGTTGCATAACTGCAGCCAAATCACGCACACACACAAAAAAGTATTTACTTTAGGCAAATGATTGTTTTTCACAGCATGGGCACTGATTTAAACCACCGCTGTGATTGTTGAAATGCATGTCATGCTAGTACTATGCTGGCAAGACTGTGTAATGTGACAAAATATTAGTAAATGACATTAGCACAACAGTGGCTGAATTTATTTTGTTTGCCATTAAGGTATGTGTATGCAAATTAAGGTTGTGTGTGCCTTAAGAGATTTAAAGGAATAGTTCACCCAAAAATGAACAATTTACTCGCCCTCAGATCATCCATGATACAGAGGAGTTTGATTCGTCATCAAAACGGATTTGGATAAAATTAGCATTGCATCACTTGTTCACCAATGGATCCTCTGCAGTAAATGGGTACCGTCAGAATTAGAGTTCAAACAGCTGATAAAAACATCACAATAATCCACACGACTCCTGTCCAATAATTAATGTCTTGTGAACATAGACAATTAGTTTACACTTGTTAACGGTGCTTGATTTATGCATATGTCTCTCCTGACTCAGATTAGATGACTTTTTCACTGGAGAAAGCAATATTATCGATAGAGGACACAGAGTCACATCAAACAATGGTTTGAAGTTAAAAAAAAATTCCTTGATGATGGATTTGCTTCTTACAAGCACGGCTTTTTGCTTCACAAGATGTTAAATAGTGGACTGGAGGTGTGTGGATTATTGTGATGCTTTTATCAGCGGTTTTATCATTCTGACGGCACCCATTCACTGCAGAGGATCCATTGGTGAGCACGTGATGTAATGCTAAATTTCTCCAAATTTGTTCCAATGAAGAAACAAACTCCCCTCACTGAAATGCATGAAAACGCTATGCGAAAACAAACGTCACTTCTGCTTATGAATGATGGATGCTATCAAAAACAAAAAAAAACGATTTAAAGATGCTTACAGGCTCTGTATGGGATCTACCAGCATGAGGTTTAGTATAATTACCTTAAATTATAATTTTAAGCCCATGTGTTGGTAATAAACTGTCTGGAAATGATGTGGATAACATCTGAATCACGAACATGAACCGTTTGAGATCATTCAGATCATGAAGATGCGAAAGTACAGACAACAATAATGTAAACAAACAAGCGAGATGAAAACACTTGGGGAAAAAACTGACTCCATTTCAAGCAACGAGTCCAGGGCCAGAATTAGGAGTGATAAACAAAATTATATAAAATGCATAAAAAAAAAAAAAACACACACACACACACAGAAAGATAACATTCATCAAAATGGGTTTCACAACATCCTTCTGTGATAAATCTATCAAACAAATGCAGTCATTCAAATAATACTACTGCATAATCAGAGTTATGTACACTGGATATTTGATATGCATACATACAGTATATACACATAAAAGAATATCCTTCACTAAAAGTTTAGTACACTGAACTGTACAATAACTTCCAAAGGGAACTGTTCAGCAAAACACTGTTTTGCTTACATAGTAATACTATGTTTTACAATACAAGATCAAAATTGTTCCAAACAGAAAAAAAAAAGTTTTGCGCAAGCCTAGACAGGCCACAAAGTGCATAAACGGTCAGTCAGAAGCCACTGTTAGAGAAATCCATAGGGTGGGAAACGATTCTGCAGCTTGTATTCCCACTCAAAACGGGAAAAATGACTATTGCCTTACGACAAATAATGCCGTCACAATGTGGCATGTTGTTTGTAGGCAACATGCTCAGGGTTAGCATTAGCCACTACCATTTAGCCATCGGTAAATTAATCTCTGGCTCTCGCCGACACCTGGGTTTCAAGTAGAGGCTTTGCAGCAGTAAATGGAGGTGATAAACTCGAAAACGCTCCATCTCTGTTAAAAGAGGCCCAGTAATGCAAGCAGGACAACATCTCCCAATTCAAAAATACCACCCAGAGTACATACCAGGACTGAGCAACTTCGGTCCTGGAGAGCCACCGTCCTGCAGAGTTTAGACGTAACCCTAATCAAACACACCCGAACCAGCTAATCAATGTCTTCAAGATCACTAGAAAGCTACAGGCATGTGTGTTTGATTAGGGTTGGAACTAAACTCTGCAGGACAGTGGCCCTCCAGGACTGAAGTTGCCCAGCCCTAGTTCATACTATACTGAGATTAGGACAATGGTATGATCATCAAAAAAAACACACAAAAAATAAGTATGGTAAAAACTTAACATGAACCTAACGAAGAAACACTTCAGTTTGAAGCACATGAGGGGCCACAGATCACGTGACCGTCAATTTCACAACAGCAAACGGACATTTGTGCGTGGACAACCATCTGCCAGTTTGGAAAGAGTGGAGGGTGACCTCTAGAGGAGAAAATGCTTGAATGAACAAATTCTGGAAGGGCAAAACGTCATCTTTATGAAATGGTGATCTAAAAAAGAAAAACATCCTTTACAGTAGTGCTATCGTGCCACATCTGAAAAACACTTTCTTGTGCTTTTTTTTTTCCTTTAAAGTCCTCCAAGCCATTTCAGATCTTGGCTGGTTTGTTTTTCTTTTCTTAAAGCAATGGCTCTGATAAAGTAATTTCTGAAATGAAAGAGTTGTCGAAGAATGATTTTTTTTCTTGAATGAAGAATTTCAGCCAATTCAGGCTTTTGTTTTTTCTTCAAGCATTCCCCTCTTTGATTGTCCTTTCTAAACTGACTTTTCCTAAAACATTATGAAACAAATGGACAGACAGAATTAGCAAATTTGTTTGCCATCACTCTCTCTCTTTTTTTTTTTTTGAAACCCTCTCCAGTCTGACAGGCTCGAATCCCTCTCGTTCTCGGAGACTACAGCCCCCTTTGGGGGTCTGAGTTGACAATGCATTTCTAGGACTTGTTCTTCTTCCTTTGGTCTAAGCCTGGGACAATCTCTCTCGGTCTCCATCTAGCTTTTGCTTTCTCACCCTGTTCGTCTCTCTTTTGCTCTGCCTCTCTCCCTCTCTTTCCTGGTCTCTCTCTATCTGTTAACCATTGAGCAGGTAGACCACCAGCTCATAGGTGCACATCATAATAGCAGTGTTAGGGATCTGTCGGACCAGGTGAGTAGTGAGGCCTCGGTACATTGCTCTGTAACCCTCCTCCCGGATCACCATATTTAGAGTTTGGAAGAACGAACGATACTTGCTGCCTTCCTCACGTAGTCTGGTACGAATAACCTCTGTCATGGGAGAAGGAAAGAGATAGAGAGCAAGTTAATAAACAATCATTTATCAGAGAAACAAAAACTTGGCAAGATGGCACATACAGTGGGTTCCAAAAGCCTGATATTACACAGAAGAAAAGCATTTTATTTCTGCATTTCTATACATGGGAATACAAACCCTTTCATTCTAAATTATGTTATAAAAATTCAGTGAAAAAAAATAAAAAAAATAAATAAAAATTCACATCTACAAAAATGTATTCAAATCTATAAATTTACTTCAGAAATGTGTACAAATGTACTTCCATTCGATCAGCTGTCCAGAAATGTTATAGATAATTTTTTCTTCATTCTACAACATAACGTCATTTTTGTTATTTTGTCCTTTTTTCTTTTAGTTTATTTTCAGGTTTAAATGGAAAAAATAAATCACAGATTTTCAATGTGGTCTTTTAAACATGAGGAAGAAAAAAAAAAGGTTTCATGGATAAACAGACAGATGGATTTTCAAGGTAGGTTCATCTTTTAAATACAGGTCGCAAATTAATGTATTGAGGGTCATGATAATTGTTCAAGAATGTACATGTAGTAAAAAAGAACCCACTGCCAACTAAATAAACATGCCAACTACAAACCAACAATGAAACAAATATTAACATAACTATCACAAAAAAAAAGGCACTCACCATGAGGATACGCAATTGAAGTGGCACAAGTCTTGGATGTGGCAGCAGCCAGCATCATTCCCACAAAGTCCGAAGCGTCTTTTACAGATTCATCTTCGTCATCCATGTTAGCGTTGGCCTTGGACTCAATGAGTTTGCGTTTAATGTTTTCATAGATGACAAAGTGGATGACAGTCTCTGATATGCCAGCATAAGATGCAGACATGCCCCTGTAGAATCCTCGTAACCCATCTGACTGATAGACCCGCCGGACACACTCAAATGCACTCATGCGCTTTTCTCCGCGGTTCCTGGAGAAAGACAAACACATGTGATAAATGTCACAAATCTGATTATCAGATTTTACATTTGAAAAAAATATTGTTTTAATTTTAAATTGTACTAACATGTCATAATATTTCTATGATCAATATTTTTGATCAGCCTTGGTGAGCCTAAGAAACTTCTTTCAATAACATGAAAAATCTTACCAACCCTAAACTTTTGAGCGGTAGTGTACAGCAAATAGAATTACTCACCTGGCATCAAGCTGCAATCGAGTCTTTATAAGCCAGATCGGGTTGGTTGCTGTGATGGCAGTGAACCCTGGGAAAAAGAGGTGTTCCAGATCAGGCTTGGAAGTGATACTGTCAAAGTAACTCAAAGCACAGGACATTCAGCAGGTCTAATGACTCTAAAACAGACATTTTCCCTAAAGAAACTCCACACTTCAAGGAAGTGCTGTGGACATCTGTAATATGCTTACGGCCTATTTGTTTCATTTTAAATTGTGGGATCTGAATCTCGTTGAGCTTATTTCAGCATATCATACCAATCTCAATCACTAACAGTGTGATGTGGACTACATGTTCTCTTCAGGAATGCCCAGCATCGTTAGCATTAACAGCATTTACTATCTGATGTCGGGAAAACCATTACAGATCCACTAGGCACTTATTTAATATTCTGGGGTAAGAGCCATAAGCACATCTTAGAGTGGCCACAGCAGTAAATAAGGCCTTTAGCTAAAGCATTAAGCAGCTTTTCATCTATAACAGAACTCTGAAACCAATGTAGCTTTACTTCTTAAATATCTAGTCCTATCCTCACTGAATTAAACAGTATTTTAGGGATCGAGTGGAAGCTAAATGAAATAAACATTTTTAGAAAAGGGTCTTAAGTTAAAAAGAACCACTATTCAGTTGCATAACTGCAGCCAAATCACGCACACACACAAAAAAGTATTTACTTTAGGCAAATGATTGTTTTTCACAGCATGGGCACTGATTTAAACCACCGCTGTGATTGTTGAAATGCATGTCATGCTAGTACTATGCTGGCAAGACTGTGTAATGTGACAAAATATTAGTAAATGACATTAGCACAACAGTGGCTGAATTTATTTTGTTTGCCATTAAGGTATGTGTATGCAAATTAAGGTTGTGTGTGCCTTAAGAGATTTAAAGGAATAGTTCACCCAAAAATGAACAATTTACTCGCCCTCAGATCATCCATGATACAGAGGAGTTTGATTCGTCATCAAAACGGATTTGGATAAAATTAGCATTGCATCACTTGTTCACCAATGGATCCTCTGCAGTAAATGGGTACCGTCAGAATTAGAGTTCAAACAGCTGATAAAAACATCACAATAATCCACACGACTCCTGTCCAATAATTAATGTCTTGTGAACATAGACAATTAGTTTACACTTGTTAACGGTGCTTGATTTATGCATATGTCTCTCCTGACTCAGATTAGATGACTTTTTCACTGGAGAAAGCAATATTATCGATAGAGGACACAGAGTCACATCAAACAATGGTTTGAAGTTAAAAAAAAAAATTCCTTGATGATGGATTTGCTTCTTACAAGCACGGCTTTTTGCTTCACAAGATGTTAAATAGTGGACTGGAGGTGTGTGGATTATTTAACGGTGCTTGATTTATGCATATGTCTCTCCTGACTCAGATTAGATGACTTTTTCACTGGAGAAAGCAATATTATCGATAGAGGACACAGAGTCACATCAAACAATGGTTTGAAGTTAAAAAAAAATTCCTTGATGATGGATTTGCTTCTTACAAGCACGGCTTTTTGCTTCACAAGATGTTAAATAGTGGACTGGAGGTGTGTGGATTATTGTGATGCTTTTATCAGCGGTTTTATCATTCTGACGGCACCCATTCACTGCAGAGGATCCATTGGTGAGCACGTCAAACAATGGTTTGAAGTTAAAAAAAAATTCCTTGATGATGGATTTGCTTCTTACAAGCACGGCTTTTTGCTTCACAAGATGTTAAATAGTGGACTGGAGGTGTGTGGATTATTGTGATGCTTTTATCAGCGGTTTTATCATTCTGACGGCACCCATACACTGAAGAGGATCCATTGGTGAGCACGTGATGTAATGCTAAATTTCTCCAAATTTGTTCCAATGAAGAAACAAACTCCCCTCCATGTTGGATGGCCTGAGGCAGAGTATATTTTCAGAATTTTTTTTTTTTGGGGTGAACTATTTCTATTATGTGTGCTTGTATTGTATTAACAGCATTAAAAGCAACTGCTAAATATTCTGCCTGATGTTGGTAGGAACAATTAGTTTATCTATTCAACTGCAGCAAAATGAAGCACAAAGCCTGTGCTCGGTGTTGTGGGTGCACAAAATATCCCAGAACAAAAAAACAAAAGAGAGCACAAGACAATGGCAATTGGAGATGAAAATATTCATGTGCGTTTCTAACAGTATAGTGTAAAACATCAGTGTTTTCTTAGGCTAAACAAAGTCTACTGAGCTAGAGTAGAAGCTCTAGAGAGGGTAAGAGGTCTACTGACTGGTGAAGGGAGGGGGTGGATGACAGTTCGGTACAAGAGTAAGAGAGAGAGAGAGTGTGTCTCTGACGAGTACTCACAGGGGAGGGGCAAAGCTCCTCTCCTCACAGCTGCAGGACGAAGCCTGCAGATATGGGGGGTAGAGCAGGCTGGCTCACAGACCCTCACGCAGGGTGAAAGCTACAGTAAAGGCCTAAAATAGACACAGGCTTTTCTGTACCACATTCACAAGCAGCAGTCCACATGACCCTCAGAGTCAAGTCAAACCCATGAGGGAGTGGAACACGACAATAAACCTTGCCCACTTCCCATTAAACACCTCCCACCTCCCCAACCAAGCCCCGCCCACCAATTACATCAAACAATGACCATTCCATCCCACTCACCACCCCATTTAAACATTCAAGAGAGTGCTTTCATTTTCCTTTCTTTTTTAATGGATAGAGGGAGAAAGATGGTTAGAGAGGCAGAGAGAGAGAGAAATAGAAAGACAGAGCGAGATGAAAGTGAATTTTTGAGTTTTAAAGGACATCATTAGACCAGTGTTTTTCATTTTAAAAGGTACAGAACAGAGCTGATCTTGCTGTAGTAACACTATTTCTTTGATCATATCTGAGCTTTATCAATGTTGGGTCATATAAACAGCTACAAAATCAAACTAGGATCAAAATTTATATCAACAATAACTTCATGGAGGGTCAGAGGCAGTGCATGTAAGAGTCCAATGCTAACCTTGTCATTCCTGTTGGCAAAATCATTGCGGAGTAAAATTTTAAAGCGGGTTTTCTGGTACGATTCAATCAAGGTTTTGTTATTTGAAAAATACTACTTGCACAAAAATTAAATCTTGAATATGTGGGTCCATATAGAGAGTGATTTTTTTTTTCAACATAATAAAAAACGTATGTTTATTTAGTAGGGTCAAAATTAGTGGTCGACCGATTGGTTTTTTGACAGCCGATGCCGATATCTTGGAAAGCAGGGTGGTCGATGGCCGATATTAAAGCCGATATAATTTTATTTATTTCAATTAATATTTAAGAAATTTTAAATCATTTGAAAATGATTAAAAAAAATAAATGTGTAAAATAAACATACTTATACTTTAAATGACTTTATACTTTTTTTTATAAAAATATAATTAAAAAGGAAGTAAACACTGTAACCAACAGGGCACTCAGTAATCTGGGAAGTTTGTGTGCATTGGGATATGGGAATCATATTTTTTCAAATAAAGCCAAGGTAACACTCATTTTACATACATCACACAGTGAAAATGACATGAATATGACTGGGCAAAATGAAGCGCAGCGTAGTTTGAAATCACGAGTTTAAAGTTTGTCGATCGCGCGTCTCCAGTGAAGCTGAACTTTCCTCCTGTCCGCATTCAATTTGCACGGACCGACTATCACGTGATCATGCAGGATACAAATGCACACTTCACAAGATCACAAGTTTGCAAGATTTTTTAAATTATATGTTCATTACTCATTCAAAGATTTGTTTAAATGATATAAATGCGTATTTGCTGAATGCTGACGGAAAACGAGAAAGTATTATAATATTTGCCTTTCTATTACTAATAATATAAAAGCAATCGTTATAATACTTTTTTGTATACATTTTAATTCCTTTGTTTAACAGTTCTTTCTGATTATTAGACAGATTTCTGTCCATATTAGACAGAACTGTTAATGACGACAGCGAACAAGGAGAATGTGAACACTGTGTGCACGCAGGCGCTGCCGCGCACCGTCAAAATAAAAGTCCCGCTCTCGAATGCATCAGCCAAACAGAAAAAGTTATCGACCGATATTTGAAAAATGCCAAACTAGTCAAAATGAAATAACTAACATTTAATCACAAATTATTAGGGCTGGGAATTGCAGGGTACCACACGATACGATACGAATCATGATATGATAATATCACGATACAGCGATTCTGCGATAATCGATATATTGCTAGACAATCCTATAACGAAACACCATGATATCTGTCTAACTATGAAAATAAAATGCCTGTGAAAAGGTTAAGTGCAAGTTTTCTCTCTTTATTCAAGTCCAAACTGTTAGAAAACAGCACAAAAGTTCTGTAAATCAAATTTAACATGCTAAGCAAATTAATCATTTTATTCTTGGACTTATTAAAACCAACATATATAACTGCTTATCAACTTTATATATAGCCTATATATATATACTGATTATTAGACAGATTTCTGTCCATATTAGACAGAACTGTTAACGACGACAGCGAACAAGGAGAATGTGAACACTGTGTGCACGCAGGCGCTGCCGCGCACCGTCAAAATAAAAGTCCCGCTCTCGAATGCATCACCCAAACAGAAAAAGTTATCGACCGATATTTGAAAAATGCCAAACTAGTCAAAATGAAATAACTAACATTTAATCACAAATTATTAGGGCTGGGAATTGCAGGGTACCACACGATACGATACGAATCACGATATGATAATATCACGATACAGCGATTCTGCGATAATCGATATATTGCTAGACAATCCTATAACGAAACACCATGATATCTGTCTAACTATGAAAATAAAATGACTGTGAAAAGGTTAAGTGCAAGTTTTCTCTCTTTATTCAAGTCCAAACTGTTAGAAAACAGCACAAAAGTTCTGTA